CTATTACGCTACCTGCTGTGGCGAGAAAGACAACTTGAGGAAAGATGTGAAGAGTTAGAGAACTAAAGTCTAAAGAAGGAAAGACACGCACATCCCCGAGGCCCACTGGGTTGGGTGCTGGATCACAAAATGTCAAAAATGAGAAAAGAAGAGAAGAACGATCCGCACACCAGAAACAGGCTCCCTTATACAATTTATTGGCGTGACGTTTCGAGCAAAATGCTGTCTGAGGAAGAGCATTTTGCTCGAAATGTCACGCCAATAAAATATGGCATCACTCCATAATTATTCCCATTATGGAACAGGGCCCGTTGTTCTCGAAGGATTTCCCTTAGAGCCAGTTACACCCAGCTCTAAAAAAAGTCTTTGCTCAGACTGGTTGTTTGGAAGCCACTAAAATGCAAAACAGAACCAAAATCATTCTTTGTTGTTCATTCTGTTGTTCAATAAGGTTCCTTGTTCATGTGGTAGGATGGTCAAATACTCTCACATACCAAAAGGGAAAACTAGAATTCCAGCATAGGGCATGCAAAATACACAAGGGATAAAAATTATTTCATTTAATGTTAATGGGGTGTATAACCCAATAAAAAGGGGAAAGATAGACCAAAAGTACAAGTTCTATATCCTGGAGAGAATTTTGCTGGACAAGTGTGATTAGATTCTTCATTATGCCCCATCAGAAACGTTGTGGGTTGTCAAGCACAGAATGTTGGAGACAATGCCAGACTAAAGATGCAAATGACTTCCATGTATTTTGGTCATGTCCTGTGCTTACGGAATATTGGAAAAGTATCCATCAAGCTATTCAGACAGTAATTAGATCCACTGTCCCTTTCAGATTTGATGTTTTGTACCTTTGCAACATACCAGAAGAAAAACACTCTAAGAATAGAACCCTCATCAAGATCCTACTGGCTGCAGGTAAAAAAGCCATAACTGGAAGGTGGCTGAAACCTCAAGCACCCTCAGTTGAAGACTGGATAGATACAGTGTACCAAATATATAAAATGGAAAAACTAACATACTCCCTAAGTTTGCAGCAGGACCAGTTTGTTAATACGTGGTCAAACTGGATAGAGTACATCAGTCCCAGTAGATGTGAATTTGATTAAATCCTAAATAAATGAGCTAGGAAGGACCATTCCCCACAGTTCTTTGTAAATAGTTTTCATTTTTGTTCTTGTTAACTGAATGGCACCAAAGTCGTAGAATGTTTGTGAACCATCATTGGTGAATAACTCAGATAAGAGGGGGTATTTGGACATGTATCTTAACAGTGGTTAGTCCCTATATTCTGTTAAAACAGCTGAAGTCTATTATATATTAAGAGATTTTTTTTTACTATCTACTGTATTGGAAATACATTACCTGATCTGAGGACTGCCTGGAGGAGATTTAGAAAATGGTAAACTGAACACATAAAATGCTGTGACATGATTTGTAGTTTATTTTTGGTTGCCAATAAAAATAATAATAATAAAAAAAATCCATCAGAGTTAAAGTCAAATAAGGTGAAAAACACACAGAAGAACTCAGCATCTGGATCTACATGAACAGAGACTGAAGCAGAACTCATCTATGTTCCATGAACATGGTTTTAATGACGCTCTCCAACCAATCAGAAGAAGGAATCTTTCCAGAAATCATGTCTTGTGTATCTGGACTTAAATACATTCATTGTCTTTTTATTCTGACTCCAGTTAGAGAAGA